GATTAGATCTTGAGACTTTTAGAAGGGTTTACCCCATTCCACGCCCTGCCACCGAGCCTCAAGCCAGGCTAAACATTCAACTTCTTTCAACCCTTTCTCGTCTGACATGCTTTCCTGAATGTTCACAGGCTGAATCTCCCAGAGACCAGTTTGGCAAAGCAACTCTCAACATATGGGACCAAGATCACTACACAATATTCCAAATGTGGTCTAACAGTTCAGCCTTTTCCAAAAAACACCAGGTGCCTTCTACGCTCCAGACTAATATTTTTTCTTGATCTGAATTATACTTCAGTTAACACACCCTAAAAACACATTAGCTTTGTTTGTTTTACTTCGTTTAATGTATCAGGATAAGCATGAGGCCTCGGCTATCCAAATGATCTGTTTATATTCTATTGCTAGTTCTACAGCAGGACACACAAAGCTCTCTGGGCCATGTGGCCTCGGGTGGACCCTGTCATTTACCAGTGGAGTGACCTTAAACTGGAAAAATATTGACTCTCTTATGGTTTTTCATCCAAGCTTCTAATAAAAATAATTTTTAAAAGGCAAATACCAGTGACAGCTTTGTGTGGAATGAGAGAGCACCCTCCATACTGACACAGACCCACCAATCCAGCTGAAGAGATTGTCGCCTGTTCTTCATTGATGGAAGTTGAGGCCGCGAGGTTAAAGGAAAAATAAACTCTTAATACATCACACACATTACCTCACTCTGCAGCAATCTTGAAAGATGCACTTGTTTTGTTTTTCAGAGAAAGAAATACAAGGTTAAGAATAAATAAAAGGTTACGGCATTTCTAAAACCACAGGGGTAATGAGGGGCAGGGCCAGAACAACAGTATTCCAGTGCACTCTTTCCTAATCACTACAGAGAGGCAAGCACAGGATGTGCAGCTCATGTGACTTGGTGGGTTAAAGGACACAGAAGGCAGGAAGGCAGTGTCATACAGGTCTTGTGAAGGTAAATTGAGGCCACACTGCAAAGGTTGTGAATTCCACACTAAAAGAGTGTGACGTTCAGCCTGGGGGCTATTAAGAATCAACCCTACTGGTCAAAATTAATGAGCTAGTTGAAATATTTGAAAATTAATTTCACATATAATGACAAGGGCTTTGGATGCAAATAAAGCCTATAAGTAGGATATTAATTCAGAGGGAGTTGGAAAGGCCTATTGAACACCAGTGCCGTAGGTAAGAAGAACATGATACAAATGTCTCAGATCTCCAGGCCAGATCTACTTGCTCTCTTAAATCAAGGTCACTATAGCTGTGATGAAACACCATGGCCAAAAGCAATTTGGGAAAGAAGGACATACTGGGCTTATACACCCTGAATCACAGTCCAGTGAGAAAAGCCAAGGCAGGAACTCAGACTGGGCAAAGCCCTGGAGGCAGGAGCTGACGCAGAGGCCATGGACGGGTGCTGCTTACTGGCCTGGTCCCCATGGCTTGCTCAGCCTGCTTTCTTACAGAATCCAGGACCATCAGCCTGGGGATGACACCAATCACTAACTTGAAAAATGTCTTCTTACAGGCTTGCCTACAGCCTGATCACATGAAGGCATTTCCTTAGTTGCGTTCCTCCTCTCAGACGACCTTAGCTTATATTAGTTGACATAAAACCAGCTGGCGCCCTTGGCATATTCATTTTTAAGAAACACAAGAAGTTAAAAGACGTAGGATGAAAACAGAGAGGAAACAAAGACCAGGAGGTGGAAAGATGGCTGTAGTCCTGGTGTAACCGGAAAGCAGGGGCACTGTGTAAAGCAGCATGGGAAGAAACATGATCGAATTTGTTATTTTTATAATACTTTACTGAAGCCGTAATACACAATATTTACAGGTGCCTAGAATACCAGTACCTAATCCAAAAGGAGAGTGCCTGGCTTAGCACACTTTCTCCTGGTAACAGGTTGGCTTCTGAGTCTTATCTAGGTGCTCAGAAACCAAGCATTACTAATGCCCTAGAACCCTGCCAGGCCCTTGCTGTGGGAATCCTCCATCCCTTCTCCTTCCTGCCTTCAAATTCTCTTTGAAAGTCTGTGGCAGCTCATTCCTGTTGTAGTGTGAAGACTGGCAATTGACAGGTTGACTATGTGGTTCAAAAAGATGCAAACAGGGCTAAAGAAATGAAGATCTGGGGGTGGAAGGCTGAAGGGAGGGGAAAGAAAGGTGGGGCAGCACCCAAGCAGGTCACTGCACTAGGTCCACTAGGGTTGGCGTGTGTGTGTGTGTGTGTGTGTGTGTGTGTGTGTGTGCGCGCGCGTGCGCACGTGTGCATGCACACATGCATGCACGCACATGCACTCCCAAACACATACTC